ATGTAAAGAATGTGTGGTTAAAAAGCAAGAAGAATTTTTGGGTTTATGTGTAATATTATTTTATTTGAAGAATGTATGGTTAAAAATGAGTACTGTAGAAAAATGAGAATGGGATAAAAAATGGGTGTCAAACAGAGGCTAAATCATTCACCCTACAGATCATCAATAACATGACATCAAACCAAATAAAAGACTATAACCATCCTTCACAACTGGCCTGACCTTCTCTTTCTTAGTGTTCTATAAAGCGTAAAGAGTGGCTAGGCGTCAAAGGCCAAGCTTCAAGCTTTCGCCTAGGAATAAAAAAGAGTTTTCTTATTTTTAGTATTATTTTAATTATTCTGAAACTATTAAATGAATAAAATAATGCACACCAAACATCTAAAATATTAAACACTATAATTACTTAATAATTCCTAAAACTATACAATTTCCAAGTTTCCAAAAATTAGAAAAATTTTAAATTTCCAACTAAACAATCCCTACTTAGAGCATCTTGAAGAGACTCTTTAAAAATGAAATACCCCCTATTTTAAAGAGACAATCCTTAAAATTATGTTTCAAAAGACTCTTTAAATTAACATTTTAAAATAGAGAGTAGGTTTGACTCTCTAAATTTAAAACATTCCAATTTTCAATGTTCCATATATTAACACTACTAATAGCATATACAATGAAAATTGAGGAAAATAATATAACAATATGAAGGGAAGCTAGTGAAAATAATAAATTCTTATTGGGAGTAGTCAATTAAGTGTTCATTTATAAAGAGGTTGTTAGAGTATTTAAAAAATGTTACTCTCAAAATTTATAGATGTCATCTAAATTGTAAAATATGCTCTTTAAAAATAAATTGTATCTTGGAAATGCTCTTAATAGATTTATACCATAAGGTACTAAACTATTGTTAAATGACCAAAACTTCAAATACTATATTTAATAGTAATTTGGTCAATAGGTCCAAGAAAATAGTCCTAACAGTCTTGGTCCACGTTGATTATTAGGTCCTAGTGTCCAAAAAATGGGTCAAAAAATGGGAAAAGTAACTTTAAAAAAAAACACATGCCTAGGCTCGCATTAGGCGATCAACAAAAGTGTTGAGTGCTTTTTCGCAAGCCTATGCCCTAGGCGTGGCGCCAGAGGTGTCAAGACGGGCGGGCCGGCCATGACCCGTAAAAATCGACCCGTGAAAATCGGGAC